CTATGAGCTTAAATTCTGCATTCTCCCTACAAAGCAAGAGTGAGAAAGGTGATAGTGATCCAATCCTCACTCTTTTTCTCTTAAAGCCAACTGCAAGAACTGAAGTTACACTAGTCACAGTGCACTAAGGACTTTCTTTGCTTCACCAGCAATAGAGGGATGAATTAACCAGATTACATATGCTTTGCTTGACCAGGCCTGTGGCTAAAGCATGATTCTTGCAAAGTCTCTTCCCTGGAAATAGACAGAAAGGTTTCTCTCAGCAAAGACAGAAAAACACAAAGGCAGGAAGTGCTAGGCATGAGGAGGAGGGCATCCAGTTTAGCGGCGTGGGCTGACTTGCTCCATTAAGCAGCCGGAAGGAGATCAGCAGCACACCCACACTAGTGGCAGGAGGCAGAGCTCAGCCACCAGGCAGAGCAGGGACCAGGCCTCTTGTTTCACACTGTCAGGATTACCTCGGAGCCTCTTTCCACCAGAAATCACAGTGTTCTTTCCCCCACACCAACCCACACTGCGCTAAACAGCCCAGAGTTCCTCACCTGATATTCCCACTTCAGCCACCAGAAGATCCCCACTGGAGCCTGAGCTCTCTGCCAGCTTTTTAAACTCATCCTGTTTCTCGCCATAAGGATATTGAGTGTCGAACTTCACAAGGACAAACTTATGCTTTGGAATTACCTAAAGAAAAGCAAAGCACAAAACTTTAGCATTTGGGGTTTGAGCAATCCACAAGACATATAAAGCTGCTGTCACTTGTCCTCCTGTGCAGCGAGGAGCTGCAGAGGAAGAATGGAAATTTGCTAATTATGGCTTTTCAAAACTGACTCACTGCAGTGTGGAGGAAAGACTGAGCTTCGGCTCTATGTGCTCTTACACCAGATGACATAGATGGTGCGTGGTAGGTTTGGGGGATCTGATAAGGCCTTTAATCACACATGATTTCCTTACTGTAAAGCTGATTAGCACCTTGAAGGGAAGTCAGCTCAACAGTTTCCAGGGGGACATTAAGAGGAGAGAGGCTGAACCCAAAGGCATTCTGAGGTGTCCCAGTATGAGAGCTGCAGCTCTTGGGGGGCACAGTGAGGGAATGGAGGTGCTGCTGGTGCTGATCTGGTTCCATCAATAGAGAATTCCTCTTTTAATTCATTCCTCTTCACTCATCCTGTTGCTTTTGAATTTTGCTCTGCCCAGATGATGTCCTTTCAAATGAGCTCAGAAGTGGAATCTGTGCCTGCTTTGGGATGTTTTTTGTCCTGCCTTGCAAAATCTTTTGTCTAACAAACAGGGTCCGATTGCAACACTGTCCCCACCTACAAAGTGTGCTACGAGCACTGCTCAGGCATAGGCAGAGCAGCTGACTGCAACAGTGAACAGGATCCTTCAGTCCTGGGCCTGCTGCTCACTATATTTGCCATCCTGGTAAGGGGTGAATGTGGCAAGTATCACACTTTGATATTTCTGCTGGTCTCTGCAGGTCCCTCTTGCAGTGTTCTGCCAATCACTTCAAATTGTTGCAGAAAAGCTGGAAGCTCCTAAAGGTTCACGAATTGTATCATAGAATGGTTTGGGTTGGAAGGGACCTTAAAGCTCATCTTCCTGCACAGGGATCAACTTCTTCCTGATGTCTAATCTTAATCTCCCTTGTCAGATTAAAGCCATTCCCCCTTGTCATTCTCAACCTGTCTCCAGAGCAGAGCGCTCCAGCCTCTAGACTCACTCGCATGTGACACGAAACACTTGCCCATGCCCGAGCAGCCAGGCCGGCCGCACGCAGCCTCTTCATCTCTCCCGGTGCAGCACATGCTGCAACGCCACCACACCAGGATTCCTGGTCTCAGGTGTCTGCCTCATGCTGGGCCTGCGACACCGTAGATCAAAATCCCGCCGTGCTCCGGCAAGACCCCTTCATTTCAGTGCACAAAAACCTGCGAGGCTCCAGTGTGGCAGCAGCCTGTTGCTTTGTTTCACGAACAGGAGTAAAACCGGCCCGGGCAAAGAGTGCTCACGGCCCGGGCACGGTCCTGCCCCGGCTCCACCAGAGCAGGACCGGCGGGCGGCGGCTGTCCGCTCGCAGGCAGGGCGCGGGGGGCCCCGCACCGGCGCTGGGCCGCGGAGCCGCCGGCCGGGCCGGTTCCGCTCGCCCCGGGCCGCAGCGCTGCCCAGCTCCACTTGGACCGCACTGATTGGCTGTCCGCCGCGGCTACCGCTCCCCTATTGGCTGTGGCGCGGCGCGCCCGCCGCCCCGGCCATTCCGCGGGCCCCGCGCCGGTAGCGGCACCAACGGGGAAGGGGGGGGGGGCGGCTCCGGGGCCCGCTCCGCGCCCCGGCCCGCTCCCGGCCGGCGGGGCTGGCCCCCCTGCTGCTTTGAACCAGGGGTGCACATGGCCTCTGCGCCCCGGGGCCGGCCTCCTAGCCGTCCTCCCCCTCCCCTCCCCAGCGCTCCGGCAGACCCTGCAGCGCCCGCCGGGCGGGCCCGTACCTTGTAGAAGGTGATGGAGTCGAGAGGCACGGAGCCCTTGGTGTGCAGCGCGCTGCCGCCGGGCAGCGCCAGGCCGAGCAGGCAGAGGAGCAGGGAGCCGGCGGCGGCCGCCGCAGCCATGGCGGAGAGCGGAGGGAGCGGGGCTGCTGGGGACACGTGACCGCGCTGAGCCCGGCGCCGCCGGGGGCTTGCCCCGCCCCGCGGCCGACCGGGGCAACCGGGTACGCGGGTATCGGGCGGCTTCCAGCTGCAAAACAGGAGCGATGGAGGCAGGAGCGGGGGTAGAAGGGAGGAGCTGGCTCTGCAGGAGCCTGCAGCGCTTGGGGCCATACAGGAAGAGGGGAGAGCAGCGCGGGTGTCTGTATTGATTCACGGCAGCAGGGCACCCGCTGCATGGCATGGCCGCAGCCCTCTCAAGCCCATGTTATCGTTCTAGTAGAGATTTCTGTTGCACCGCCCCCCTTACCTTCCTTACAACTCAAAGCTAGGCTGAAGTGCAAGCAAGCACTGCCCAAAACCGGAGGAGCACATCAACATGATCACCTGTCAAAGGACACACCGGAGCTCCAGCCTCTGCAAACATCATTCTGCAGCCAGTCCGCAGGTAAAAAGCAACGGGCGTATTTCCCCTTTCTCTCCTCCCTCGCTGTAGGCAACTTGATTTTTTGCTTGCCCAGCCCGGGATTATCTAGCTTCAGCACAAAGCCACAAAACACAAGTGAGCACGTCAGTAACTGCCAGACCATGCAGACAGGAAAATGAAAGAGGCATCAATACTGATTTGTAACGAAACTGACTTTTATATAAATTATAAACCCATCCAGTTTAAAGCAGATCAGTTGCAGTTGTGTCACTTAAGTCCGTAGAAGGCTGAGGCAAACATATCTCCTACACTCATAAATTAACAATGAATAATCCAGGAAGAGAAAGGTCAGGTAAGGCTGCAGATACAACAAGAAGAAAAAAAACCCCTCTAAGGTTACTAGCAGTTAAAGTCACGATTATCAATGATTGCAAAATATAAATGCAATTTTTGAACAGTTAAAAAGTACAAAAATGATGGGCAACACAAACAGGCATTGTAGGGTTTGTCCCGTGTGTAGACAAAGCAGAACAGGAGACTTCTGACCTTTATCTACATCACACACCGATTTTAAGCAGTTGAGGAAATCAGTAAAAGGATCGTAGCTCATGATCCCAGTAGTATAAAAGCAGTATTTTTCAGTCTGTAAACAGTAGTCTTGGTAGCTTCTTCTAGGTATGGTTTCAATTTATCACCTCCCCCCCCAAAAGAATAAAACCAGAAACACGCAAAAACAAGTCCCAAGAGTGGAAAAGGGGGAGCAGCAGCAATGGGTTACAGCTTCAATTTCTTATCCTGTCCCTGTGGGACATATTCTGGAGGGGAAATGCTCTTCTGTAAGAAATATATAATATATTTAACTGTACACAATACATAGGGGGAGAGAAAGTCTCCCACAACCAAGCCCCAGTCAGTCAGTATGGAGTCATTATTGTACACCATTTCCTCCTATGGAGAAACTACAGCTTGTAAAGAGATGGCATCTGGGTTTATAAAACACCACGTAATCAAAAACCTATTTTTTTGACAAGCTGATTGTTTGCCAGTATCTGGAACAGGGAACAGGGCAGTAGCCAACACTGTGACAGTGAGTACTGCCCCTGAGCTGGCACAGGGCTGGCTGATCTGTGCCACAGGAAGCAAGAGCCAGCCATGGATCCATCTCCACTCAGCCTCTGCTTCAGATGACACACGTCCCCCCTGTTCTAGCAGTTTCAATTCTGCTTTTAAGGGAGCTGATGCAGAAACCCTTTTTGAAAAGCAAGTTCTGCTTTCAGGCACATGGCAGGGTTTTAAAAGCCTGTTTATATTAACCTTACACTCGACTTATTTTCACCCTTGCTTACTGACACAACTGGTCGAGTTCAACCTGTTGTAGCAGCAGTGGAAAGAAACTCCAGCATGACCCAGGCCTCTGGATGAGAGCGCTGCATCCACTTTGCATTCAATGCTGGTATTTGAAGCACTGCCATGGGAGAGGGACGGAAGGGGGCACCATCAGTCTCCTGGAAGGAGAAGGGGCAGAGGATGGATTTCTGGCTCAGTGCTTCTCTCTGAACTGCATCAGCTCAGGAACAGGACTGTTTTCACTTACCCTACACATTTGAAAGCATCAACTTCAGTAATCAATCTTGCTTTAATTTAAGAAGCATACTCTTCTTTCTTTCAAAAAAGGTATTTCTATACAACATGTAAGAGTTCCCTTGGTTCTTTTTCTCTTTTTCTTTTTTCCTTCTTCCCAAGGAAAAGTATTACTATAAAACAGACTTAATACATTTTGGTATTCCTCCAGCCCAGAGCACTTACCAGACATTGCAGTTAAACCATCCGGACATCTACTACAATTCTAACAGCCTGCAGACATTCTTCTTTCCCTTTCAGGATGGGGAAAAGCAAAACTAAACCCAGCAAGAGCAGCTCTGTCAAATTAGTATTTTTTTCTTTTTTTTTTATACAGGGGATTTATTTAAAAAAATACTCTCCTCAACATTCTAACATCACTAATAAAACAGAGAGAGATGACAAAGGCAGGATTGTCAGCTCTTAAAACTTTAAATATAGACCTCAGATACTAGCTGCTTTAAAACAGAAATGAGGAATCTGTAAAGTCTGACCTGCCCCTGTATTGCAGGTTCACATAATCTCCTTTTTGCCTACAATTTAGGCTGCATTACTCCTTTAAAACGAAGAAAACCCCTGGCAGAAATGCAGATGCAGTGGGAGCAGATGATGCGACTGCACTTTCTAACAGAACACCTAATGAGCAAGTACTCAAATCATCAAAGATCAACTGCAAAAAGCAAGCAAACAGTTACAGAAAGTATTCTCAGCCTCATACCACAGCGGAAGCAAAAGTTACCTCTGCCAACTTAAACCCAATTCAGTTGCTATTAAAATATTGACGTCTTAAAGTTTCAGTAATCTAAATACACTTTGTAAAAGTCATGATGATTGCCTTGACATTGAACCGACATGGAACCAGGCCACAGCGTCAGACTTCACTGCAGCCATTATATACAAGGTCTCTGGTTTTGTCTTGGTTGCTGAAACACCAATTCACATCTCTCTCTCAAGCTTAGTGGCCAGGTTCGCTCCTCAGCAGGTTTGCAGTTACTCCAAACATGGAAACAACCCACGTACACACCACCACTGCCACCTCTCCCCTCCAGCAGCTCTCTCCTTAGAGGAACCTGCCTGCCACCAGGCCCGGCTCACTCCCACCCTTGCTGGCTGGCTGTACACTGAGAGTGTTCCTCCAGCACAGCCTCACCTCCCCTGTGGGATCACCACACTGAATTCATCCAGTAGGACCCAGTGGCTTGAGGACACAATTGCTCCAAAACAGGCTCATTTCACTGGAGGTGGCCGAATGCATCTACAAATTCTGCATTTCTAAGGCAAAGACCATACAAAAATTATAAACACTGTATGGTGATGAAAATACAACTCCTTTGAGATATATGCTTTACACTGGATTTCTATTGCTGCTTCTAAAGACCATCTCCAGTTGTTTCTAGAGATTGGAAGGGAAGAAAGTGAATTTTCTCCTGTTGCAATATGCTTATGAACATGTATAAAAAGTGGTCAAACCCCCATAAGGGTCCCTGCTTCTCATTTATGTACAATAATTTAAATCACCTCAATACATCTGTAATACCTAAAAAAAATTGATTTATGATTTGAAGTCCTTCATGCATTATGAGGAAGTTCTGGATTAAAGTGATGGTATATTGGATGTTGCTTCTGTCTGGGACTCTGGTGTCACCCCCCTGTGGAGTCTGTCAAGGATGCAGTTCTCAAATCTTTAGTTTTTTAATGGTATCGAGTCTCTTTTTCAGCAGCTCTCCAATTTCCTGAACTGAGTGATGGTAACTGCTCTGCACTTTCCCTTGCACAGTCTTTGTAAACTTTTTTTCTTCCTGCAAAAGGCAAAAGAGAAATTGTTCACCCCACAGCAACTGCTTAAATCCTCCCTTTACCTTTCCCCCACCATCTCAAGTGCTAATAAATTCATGAAGCCCACAGTGTAAGTTTACAAAGGGAATGTCGTCGGCACAGAATAAGCAGCACCAGCTCAGCAGTAGTAACTCCTGAAAATACTGGTGCTGCCCAGACAGGGGTGGTAACACATTAACATTTCTTCCTAACTGCTGAAAACATCCTTGTGCAAAATATTTGTGGCTGACACACAGAGAGGCTGAGGCTAAAACCCTGAGGCTAAAGCATGTAACAGCCATAAGCACTGCTCCATCAAGGGGTGACCTGATACCAGGATGTCTTCTGCAGACACAGATAATGCCTGGGAGCCACCACCCAATTAAACCAACCCCATGTCAGAAAACCTAACACCAGTGGCAGGGTTCAACTGGCCCATCACCAGCATCACCACAATTTAATCCTAATATCTGAATCCGAGGACTTCTTCAAAAGCATGTTTTAGCTCTAAACACACAGAGCTTCAAACCCAGCTTCAAATCTGAGCAGAGCTACAGACACTGTGTTCATCAGGATTTACTGTCACAATGTCAAACACCAGGACAAATGTTCTGAGCAAACACAGGAGAAGCTGCAGACTCCCCCAGATGCTTCTGCTCAAATCCACGTGCTAAGTCATTTCTTCCACATCTGCCTCGTGCAGTAGCGTGGTGCCAATCAAAGGGAAGAAGAGGAATTTGCTGAGTCAGTGAGGAACCAGGGAAATTAGAGATACGTGATTAAAGTGTGTTATCTTTAAAGTGAATCTTGACTTTAAAGTGAAGATTCTTTGATGGTATTAAGAAAACATACCACATAGTTTTTATTCATATTTGCATTAAATACAGGAAGGCATTTCTCTGCTTTCTATCAGTTTTTGCAGTTTCTTTTATATATGTGTGTGTGTATATATAAATATATATATATCTGAGATACTTCTACATCAGCCTCATACAGCAATAAGGGACATTTTAAATCCTGTGCTATGAAATAAACAGGCCAATTCAAGTGAAAAAGATACCAGCTGGCTAACGCAGGTTCTGTGGGCAGATGTGCAGCTCTGAAACAGATGGGTGTAGCATTTAAATCCTTCCCAATTCAAAGCCTCCAGATCTCCCTTCTAGACAAACCCAAACACCAGTGCCCTGCACGCTGAATTTCCCATTTGAGGTAAATATCCCGGAGACCTGGTTTTGTGTTCTCCCACCCCACAAACCAACGCTGGCAAGGACACAATTCCCCTCTCAAACATTTCACCTGGAATCTGCAATCCTGCTTTGAGAAGGAACAATGACTCCTCACTCCCCCATGTATCAGATGATGCCCATTCCACCACTGTGCTACGTTGCACCTTGTATCTCCACCCGCCCTTCCAGAGCACCATCAACAAAACCCCAATTCTATGCTTTCCATCACTTTGAGGCTTTTTAGCTGGACTCTGTCACTATTTCAAAGATATTTTTAGCGTCTCACCCACTGTTTTAAACAAATACATTCCTAGTAAACATCAAACTGTTAGAAAGTATCATTAAGAGTTAAACTTTGCGATAGGCAAGTTATCTGACTGCCATGGCTTAAAAATTCCCAGGCTTCCTCATTAAGCCCGTGTTTCACATGTCTAAATGCAGCATGAGGTTTGTCATATGTAGCACCTATCACTCCTGCCTTTGGTTTTCCCTATATAGCTAAGGGCAGGGGAGGAGCTGCCACTTGTTCTTCCATAAAGATCAAGAAACTGTTTCCAGGGAAGTGACTAATCAGCAGTAGGTGAATCTCAAATGCTTCCGGAAATGTTATTTGCATCCATTCTGCTAAAACACAGATAACAGAATAACTCATATCCCAGAGAACAAAATAATGTTAAAGTTTTAAGTTTTTCTTCACTATTATACCACACAAAATGAAAGGATTTTAGAATCCCTGTGTTTGGACCTCGTTTTCTGAGATCATTCTGTACAGTGAGCTGGAGCTGATCAGATGGGACAAAGTCACTGTGTCACCATGAAAACAAATCCTAACTCGGCACTCTAAACCTCAGCTTTCCAGCAGTCCATCCCTAACCTCTGGTTAAGAGCAATTAATTCAATCATAAGTTTTTTTATTATTTTTCCTCTCTTTTCTTCCTTCCAGTAAATAATTTTTGTGAAAAACAGCTTTCAACAAAGCCACCCTGTAAGTGTGTACATATAGGTCATTATCAGTCACACACAAACACCACCACAAGCTCTTACCTGTAAAAGCAGAGTGTCCTTGAGGGACAGCTCTTCAAGTTTTAGTGCAGCCAGAATGATTTCAAGCCCTTTGATGTGATCTATAACATTGGAAGTTAACGTCTGTAGCTCAGTAACGTAATCCAGGAAATGTGTAAATACAGGTGGCTATAAAAACAAATACACATCTTTAGTTTATAAACATGTATTAATGCCCATTCCAATGATGATTCTATATGACAACTTTATCATTCTACTCCTTCCCCCAGTGCTAAGCTATAACCCACCTACCCAGACAAGTTTACTACACTGCATTCAAGGCAGGAAGGCCTCTGATGCTCTAAACTCTGCTTCCTATTAAAAAGCATCTCTGACATCAGAGACGTGGCACATCACCATTTAAAAGAGAAAAGGAGTTACAGAAATGAGTAATTTCTCTCAGCAGCCTCCACAAGGCAAAGTTTATGGAAAACACTTTATTAACATGTTATCTGTCCTGATTTTTCTTTCAGTATAGCTATGCCATTGGATTGGGGTGGGGGAGAACAGAAAGGAAGACGGTCTCTACCATGGCTAAACTGCTTTCTTTTTTTTTCTTCTTCTTTTTCTGCAGGTTGGATTTAAAAGGTCGGAGGACACTGTCACAGTAACTCGATACCCACAGGGTGATGGAGATCGTCTGGAAGAAAGGTACAAATGTTACACGCTGCATTTATAACCTTGTTTCAATGTTCCTACTGGTAGGACATGCAATAAAACCCTCTGCTTTCATGAGTGACTGAGATCAAAGAAATTTCACTGTGTTTTAGTCCCAACATTTCTCCCCTAAAGCATTCCAAAGAAAAAAATACCTCAACAAAGAAGACCAGGTTTTCTAACAGGCTTGGGTGAGTTTTCAAGGTGCCATCTCTGACTTCAATCAAATCACCTTTACATTTATTGAACAAGTCTGAAGAGGAAAAAAAAGCAATATTAAGAACACACAGACCAACCTGAGTGCGTTTTCTGCACAAAAAGTATCTCAGTGTAGTGTGCAAAGCTGTTAGAGGACTGATAAATTCAGCCAAAGCCTCTCAGGAAGGTCCAGCTCTCAAGTTTTCTCTGAATTATATTTCATTACAAACAGTATCTCCACACCATTTATTAGCACACCTGGATCAAGTACCAGGGGGACATCAGCTGTTAAGCCTAGGTTGCAGGGCAAGCGAAATGATAGGACATATTCTGTGGCATGCAACAGCTTGGTGACCAGTCAAGCCAAGGGGATTCTCAGCCTTGTTCTCAAGTATCATTCAAAGGGGTGTGCAGCTGCATCAACACACACACTCCATCATATAACTGCAGCACACTCAGCAGCACATCCTCAGAGCACAATGAAGCACTACCTTAGCTACCAGTGGTTATTCTCAAGTTACCATTTACCTGTCAGTCGTTCTACTAAAGACTTGAAACTATTCCCTATCCTCTCCTGGATTTCTGCTGAATCTTCTGGGAAAAGAAAAAGAAAAAGTTATAAGCTACAAGTCTGTATTTTCTGCTTCCAGAAAACCAGGAGGCATTTAAATATAGTGTTAGCAGTCAAAAGCAAATGCAACTGCTTTCACAGAGGATCCAGTATTACACCAACATGTATGTACTGTACAAAAATGAAGACTTGCATAAACATTAAATCAAGGCACCATCTCCCAGGCAACTTAGTGTCAGTCAAAAAATTAACAGTCTGGGTCCACATCATCCAGTGCCTGGCAGTGTTCAAACTAAACAGAGACACGTCTCGCTTGCTCCCTCCCACCATACACCATGACAATCTGGTTCAGCCCCTGCCCTTCAAACACTTACCTAAGCCATTGGTATCTAGTTCATAAATATCACTAACAAGATAAAACAAGCTAGTCTGGCACTGACAGCTGCCATTGCTGAAGAAGCCAGCCATTCGGGTAGGAGGAGGGCCAAGGACAGGATACTAGGCAAGAAGCAAAGAAAAAGATAAAGGTGTTGCAGCTTTTCCTTATCCAGAACACAGTGTTTTGTCTCTGGCACATCTCTCAGTCAGATTCATACACTACAAACTCAAGGTCACTTAAGTGCATTCTGCAGCCTGCTGGACGTTACAAGATGCATTCAGTTTCTCTGCTTGCATTCACGTTCACTTAATATTTGGGGATAGCTTTTTCCTTAACGGGTACCTGAATTTTTTGTTCTAGAAACTTCTTCCCTGAATCCACTGCCGCTTCCAGCTGCTGGAGCAGGGATCGGATTGTATCAATCTTGGATGAGACGCCGTTCTCTGCAGTCTTTTCAGAGTTCTTTGGTTGAATAGTGTGACTAAGAGTTGGGAGTCCGCTTACTAGCCTTAAAGTTAAAGACCGGATTCGCAACCACATGGTTTCTTCCTCCAGTGAGAGTTTCTTATGTTCTTCAGAAATGTTCCTAGAGAAAGGCACCAAATGTTTTCAGGCAAATGCTTCAACTGTGCAAAGCAGCTAGCTTCACTCAGGCACAAAAGCCTTCCCAAAGTTATTTAACATTGTATGAAGAGGAAAGAGTGGGCAGAAATTCAGAGAACTGTATTAATATGTCAAAAGGCAGCACTGCTGGAAATGATGAGTGATGCTTGGTAAGTGTGCAGGTAGACAGCCCAGGGAACATTCCAATACAGCAGCTCCCCTCAAAGGATTTTCTTTGCCATGTGTAAGGAAAAGGTATGACTCTAGAGCTGAGGGTGTTTCTACTCACCTGTCTTTTGGATCCCAGTTAAACAAGACTGTGAGATCTCTATTGTCACGCAGATCTTTCCAAGGAATGTCATCCTCCTCTGGGCTCAGGCTCATGGACTTTATACTTTCTTCTAAACTGGTTGATCTGCACGTAAGAACAAGTGACATGAGATCAAACATTGGATCACTGGAAACAGCTCACTAGCAGAGCACATTCTCTACACTGTTCAATTCTTCTGATGTCAGAAGTGTTACACATACATGGTACGAGCAAGGACACCAAAGGGGAGAGCAAAGTAGATGCAGAAAGAGGCAGCACACCCTTCGAGCTGCAAGTGCAACTCACCAAGTGATCTACTTAGGCACAAATCTCCCAGTTTTTCCAGGTTCAAGGTGCTGCACTTACATGTTTGCTTCAAGTAAGAGGTCCAAGAGCATCCTCTCTGTGCGAACTTGTGCGAAGTGAAGGGAAGAGTTCAGCCTGTTTCGAAACGCAATGAACTCCGGGATCTTCTCAAACGCACCGTACTTGTAGGCTTGAATGATATATTCTGAGGTCTGGAAGAGAACACACATTGTCCCTGTATTAGTGACTTGCATACATCCAGAACAACCAGAGTTCAACAAGGCCACTGCCAAGAAACTGCATTTCTGTGGTTGTCATTACCCCAGAGGCACAGAATCTGGCACTTCTGCTTGTCCAAGTCACCCCAGCAGTTTTGCTACTTTGAGAACACCCAAATACTCTACCAGGCAGGTGGTTTAACAACCAGACCAGCACTAAGGTACATCACATTGCTATCACCACTGAGACCGATAAATGCTTAGAGGGAAGAGATGATTTTGGAAGGCTTTTTTTAGCTCTCTCTCTCTCTGCATTATTCAGATGATTAAATCATTCTTTCATTGTGAGAAGTACTTCCAGGCAAAATAAATACACCCCAGATTTTCTAGCACTGACCTGGATGTGCATCACATGTTACCACAACATAGATTAAAAAGAACTACTCACACATTTGGTTTTTTGTTTCTCTTTTTTATTAAGATTTTTCAGTACAGCATCACAAGGTAACATCACGCAGTGTGTACGCATTACAATACAACCTAAACACCAAAGGAAACTGTCAGGGTCCATGGGACAGTTTGCTTCCCCTCTGATGAACTGCAGCAACACAAGGCACACAGCTAGTATTTCACATCAGCCCAGTGATGTGAAGCAGACAAGCACTAGGTTTTAATGGAACTTTCTCCCTGTAGAGACAGAGTGAACTATTCATGCTCCCAATCAAGACAGACAGCTGCATTTCTTACATCAGAATTACTCCACAACTGAGAAATTCTGGCAAGTATTTCCTTCTGAGCAAGACTATGAAATGCACTGAGAAGCACAAAAAAAGGCCTTTGCTCAACTCAACTTTATATAGTATTAATAGACCCAACCTATCCGGAAGGCTCTGAGACAGCAGAAGCTAGCACTCACAGATGAAAGCCACCTTTTTTCCTTCCCTCCAAAATCAGGAATGGCCTTTAGGTCTGCTCTATCTTCTTCTTTCCCCTAAGAAATTTGGTCATTTGCACTGTATGGAAAAAATATGCCAAATAGTCAGCAACGTACCCTGTGATAAACAGCCTTGCAGAGTTCATTGTCAGGCTGAGGGCTGCGCTATGGGTGCTAAGTCAACTGCATCCACGTGGTTTTTAAATCCCCATGGGACACGTTGGTGCTCTGTGTGCCTGCAGTATCTGGAGAAATTAAAGACGGACGGACACAAGAAAATTAGAGAGATTACTTGTGATTCTGCATAGTTAGAGGACTATCTCGAGAAAGAGAAAGTTGCCTTTTTAGTTTTGCTTAAATATAGCAATACTGCCTTCTCTCTCCTCCCTGTCCTTGGCATCCTCTCCCAGAGCAGAAATGCTGTCAGGACTGCACAGCATCCTAGATGCCTGTTACTCATGGGACCTACTCTTAAACAGGATTCACTTCAGGCTGCGAAGTTCAGCAAGTCAGAAGGAAAACTGATTTCTCCAAAGCAAACAGTCTGAATCAGGAGCTGTATTTTTATGCCAGAGCACTTGGTTTATACCCCACACTTCCTGTTGTAGGCAGAGTCCCACGCACAGTGTGCTGCAGGACACGTTCTCTATGCTGCAGCAGACATTTCAGCTACCTCCAGCATCAGCCTCAAGAGGAGCAGGCAGTATCTCAAATGATGTCAAAAGGTAACTTCTGAAGGACAGTCTTCCTTTAACATTGCAGTTAGATGCTATTATGAGACTCAAATGGGAAACTGGTATCAGGACCCTGAGTACAAAGGGGCAACCCCAGTAGAACCACAGCAGCACAGAAACTGGTAGCAGATTCTGACCTGGTGATACGTGGGACGTGTTTTATGGTAAAGAACCCCTTTTTCATCTCCACTCTTGTCATATCACCATCCTTGGTGAACAGTACCTTGAACTAAGCCCTCCACTTCCTGCAATTTGCACCTTACAGTGAGCTTAGAGGACACTCGGTATTTGCTAGTTAGTACAGGTTTTGATGCATTTCCCAATTAAAATGATCTTAAGGTGATACTGGAAGCGTCCAAATCACAAGAGATTTGGCTACCCTGGTCTTTTGGTTGCAACACTCTGTCTCCAAGATGAAACATGATGCGAGCCTATTCCAGTCACATCCTTATCTTGCAGCATGAAGTACATAATGCAGATTGCACCCCTTTGCAGTTTCAACCTTTAAAGCTGTAGTAGTGAGGCAGGTCAAACCCCTCAGGATTTCTAGAACACAAATTGAGTAGCAATTTCCTGGCAACAGCACTTGGAACGTGGCTGTCTTCATCTGTGTGCAGCTACTGGAAACAACCAGCTCTTCTCTGCTACAAGCACCATCATTATTCATGCCAAACAGAATACCCTTCTTCCAAGGTAACCACACCTGACATTACTTCAGCTTGCTTTCCAGGAAAAGATGATTTCTTGATGCTTTACAGCGTAGTGCTCCCAAGCAGACAAATCACATCCAGTAGTTTTTTTGGTTCCACTTCTTCCATATGGCACCCAGCAGTCATGCATTTCATTCTGGCAGTAGGTTCCAGATATGCTTTTCATTAATATTCACCAAATAACTTTTTAAAAAGGGGAGTAAAAAGAAAACCCAACAAATATAAAGCCACTACTACTGCAACAGACACGTAGGAGAAAGCTGCCTGGATCCAGGGCTTCACCATAGCACCCAGGAATCCAAAGACTCTCAGCAAGTAGAATGAGCACTTAAAACAATGAGCAAATGAGGAATGCAGACAAGAGCGAGTTCCCATTGTACAATCCACGTGCTCTTCCTGCTCACTATAGTAAAATTTGTCAGACACAGGTAACAGCATCTACCTTCCAGGCACAGACAAATGGCAGCTGGTATCTTGTACATAGGAATAATGTGGACTGCCAACACAGCAAGGGTACTTTTCCTGAGGGATTACTGTGTCAGCATCTTTGACATCTCTACTACTCAGTACAGACAAGTCCTGTGTTTCTATTTATTGCTGGGATAGTGGGACAGCAAGCTGTACGGCTGCAAAGCCTTAAGAGCAACTTTGCTTGTGGCTGACAGGCAGAGTTACAACTGGATTGCACCTTTAGGTCTTACAAAGTAAAGAAAAAGTCATTTTCTTCACCTACCTCTCAATAGCATTCAAACTGTAAAATATAAACATAGAGGATCTAGACCCACTTCTCAGAATGGAACTGCCTTGCAAGTTTTAGGGAGATTGTCTGACATGCATATACTTCCCTGCCACAATTCTGGACTATTTCTGTTCCTATCTGCTCAATTAATTTCCACCAAGCCTCAAAAATGTGTTGTTCTCCTACCTAGCCCATTTTTCATGGATTCCATGGGAATTCTGAAACAAAATCGATATTTTCCCTATGAATGGATCAGGATGTACAGGGTGTAGTTCCCAAATAAGATTACTGACAAGTCCAGTTACTAATCAGCAAGCTGAAGCAGGAGAGATGCCAGGGCTCAGTGTGCATTTTAGGAAGCACCCCATCTCTTTAGAGGAATTCAGCTACTCTCCACTATCTCTTCCATTCCAGTGCTAAGACTCTCATTCAAGACAACTTGCTTTTCATTCACATCACTTTTAGGGGTGAACTGAATAAAACAGGTAGTTCCCACTAGCTCAAGGCCAGGTTTTGCAGTTCAATCCTATCACTTCAAAATAACGCAGTTAGTCATGGGCTCTGCTCTGCCTTCAGTGAAGCTCAGACTTCCAGACTGTTTTCCCCCTCTGAAATCCTCCCACCTTGTTCCTCCTGCTTCCCCTGCCTTTTAAAAGGGATGTGCATTCCCCACTATCCCTGTGTGCCCAAGACGGCCATCACCAGAACATGCAGCTTCAGTGACTGAAACATAAAGGATTCATACGTATGCCACAACCACCTTCACCCACTATCCCTGGCTGCTGTATGCCTTTTCAAAGAGCTGTAACACCAGGACTTATTTGCCACATGACATTTCACTTCAATTATTGCATAAAATCACAATCCATTCATTTAAAAGTCATCAGATCTGTTTTTTTTTGTGAGGAGTATTAAAACCGGCTTTTAGAAATAGCAAGCTAAAGCGAAGCCCCATGTAACAGTAAGTTACAAATCCTTGTAACAAGAAACACAAGTTGAGGCAACCTTTACTACAAAGTTGCACATATATTATTCCTCTTTGTTATCTTGTTACCAACCACTACATTTCTGTAAGCCCTTACATGAGGCTTCTGTAAGGCATCTTGACACACTGCTCTGCTAAAGGACACAGGTTTCTTTCAACTTACATCTTTCTGGTTGGAGTGGAAAAACCTGAGTGCAAAATTGCAGGATTGGGATGCAGCAGCGTAGTGGCCCAGTGCCTCTGCATAGCGCGTCAGAAGGTAGCTGCAACACAACACAGCACAAGTCAAACACCAGCGCACACAGCCCTGGGGAAACCTGAACTTCAAACACAGCTCTGCAGAGCCCAGCTTTAATGCACAGTCTGGAGATGTAACAGAGATATTAACGCTCATGTTAAAATTCAGGCTTTGAAAACCAGTATGTGGGGGTTCAGAGTTCCTCCACCCGCCTTAAATGTGCAAGAGCTTGATGTAGATACCCACACCACACTAAGCAAGGCAAGGCCATTTCATGTGTTTGTTTTCACTAGCATCCCCAAGCTCTGCTGAGCAGTAACACAAGCCGGAACACCAAGCTATGACTGGCATTGAGACATAACATTTCACAAGCTTCTTTCATATACCCCCTAGTTAATACTCTGAAAACCCAAACCAGATTAGAACCACACAGGAAAGATCCTCCACAAGAAGGGGAGTGTATACAGTAGATGTATCTCTCAAAGTTCCAACACACTTTTACAGGACACTGTATGAAAATCTATGATGTGCTAACTTTGGGGAGCAAAGGAAACTGCAGATCTCAGGAGTGATCACTGGAGGGTCACCATCACCAATTATTCTCAGTATATACTACCCACCCGATGGTGTCGTGCTGTATGTGCTTCGCATCAAGGCTGGAATAGAGCTCTGCAACGGGTTCAAATGCACCAAGCCTGCAGTAGATTCGAATGAGCAGCAATTTAAACTGAGCATTAGAAGGACTATGAGATAACCCTTCTTCTAAAAGGGTCAGGCACTGCCACACAGCTGTCTCTTCACCTGGTGACAAAGACAAAACAGGAATGATGAGAGGCACTGAACAGAGCACAATTCACTTTGGCATTGAAGCTTCCTTACGTTACACTCCTCTCATAATGCATTTAAACATGCAGATGGCATTCATCAGCCACACTGCTGCCCTTGAACATAACACACTACAGCTGCTCTCAGAGGGAAAGGTGGAGGAATAACTTCACAGGGAATATCTAGCTCATATCTCTGCAGAGTACAGCCCTCACACATAAGCTCACTACATTAAGGGAACTTCTCTGATGAATCCTGGACTGTTCAGGATTTCTAGCCTATACATACAGAGCACTCCCAAGCATCATGCAAGATAGAAGCACAGAGCCAGGAACTCAACACTCCACTGGTAGCCTGCCAGGAACCTGACCATGGATTTACTCAGGTTAAAGACTAAATCTTCCTCAGGAAAGAAAAGCATAAATGAAAACTACATTGAAGGATGGGAATACAAACAGTGCCCATGGACAGCCACCACTGGAGACTGACTGTGGGACTGAGAGACTAACAGGCAAAGCAGACATGGAGTACAGGAGTACTCAACACAGGGCAACAGGTCCCAGCAGGAGGTCTAGAAGCAAGGGATCCAAAAGACAAAGTATGTCAGGGAGGGAAAGAAATGCTCTCAAAACACCTCCAATTCCAAAAAGGAGCTGTCAGCATAAGCTGTGCAGAGGCAGAGAAAACATTCCCTACATGGGAAACTCGGAACAAGCTTCTGAAGACAGCCAGCACTGAGCTACAGGAGTCAAGGCTCTGCCAGGGCTTATATGAATTAATCTGAATAACTAAATCCCTTTAGAGGTCAGTGAGATTCACATCAAACACCAACCTGATAGAGGGACTCCTGAAATACCTTGTATTGAGGAAAAAAACCACAAAACTACAGGCCTAAACAAGCCCTGCCAGGTACACATTGTCCACGGGGGGACAGCCTCCCTGTCAACAGCCATCCAGGGTGGGATTAAGCAAGTCACACTTTTAGGAACATACCTTCCAGCCACAGGTCAAGCAGCAGGTGAACTGCAAGCAGGCAGTAATAGTCTGAGAACTGCAATTCAGTTTTCAAACAAGACTTCCCTAAAAAGAAAGAAGAAAGTTACCCCTGAATTACTGACCGTGCTGTCAGGTGCTTCTCACACTGTCAGTGTTACCAAATGGCAGATAACCACAGTTTAACATAGAAAATCCAGAGCTGTCTTAAAAACTTAGACAACTCTACACACATAATGCATTTGCTCATCACATGAGTGGACTTTGGGCCACTTCACATGTTGACATCTGCTGGAAGAAGAAAAGACACTCCTGTAGCTGCAAGATTTACAATATCCTTGGGGGTGTATTTGTCCTGTGTACACCAATGGTTAAGGCTGGTTTTGCTTAAAGGCACAGGCAGCTTTGCATAGATACAAATGTACGCCCTGAACGACCCAGCAATGTCTCATCTTTAAGACACGTGACTAGAAAGTAAAACAATTAAAGGAAAAAGATAATTCAGGTTGTCCCAAGGGTAGAATCATACAGGAGAAAGCAAAGCATTATCAAGCAGCACAACCAGTGCCACCAGCATTTGTGCTGCTCCATCCCCATGAAAAAGCTCTGCAGTGAACTGCAACATCAGCTGCAAGCTTTTCCTCACCAAACTCCAGTCCATGGTGGTATCTCAACATCAACTCCTGCACCACAGCCAGCTTCTGCTTCTTCTCCATGGCGTGATAGATACCGAGCAACCTGGAGAGCTGCACCACACACAAGTGCTGCTGCAGGGCCTTGATGTCACTCGGCAGTGCAAGTTCACCCTCTGCTGCTGCTGATAGAGGGATTACTGCCAGCAACTGGCTGATGAACTGGAAGAGAAACACTGCTGGTGAGTCTGCAGGGCAGCTGGGCACCACTTCCTCCCTTAAATCAAGGTGGAACTGTCAGCATCAACCCTGCCATCACACTGAATTCATGGCTAAAGAGCTGGCTTCAATGCTTTTTATTTATATATAATTTGAAAGGTGCTGAGCACACAGTTCTGGTTGCATTCAGTAGCTTTTAGGGCATTTCATCAAACAGATGGAGGGGAAAAAATAAATCCCAGGCAACTATCCAATCCACTGACACACGAGGGAGTTCAAGCACCTGTTAACACTCTCGGTAATAACATATGCAATTAAAATAATGAGTTACTGAACGGCTTCCCAGCACACTTCCAGGGAATGGTGGGTTTCTATGAGCTGCTACATTTTCTCTCAGCTCTGAAGTTGTGTGCTGGCCCCAGTGAGGTCAGCTTTGATTCACGACTTCTGGTTTGAATTCACTTGTAGGAAAGCAGCCTCTCCTTGTTTACAATGTTAATGGGAGGCAGGACAGTTCTCACAACACAGAGCCAGTGCTGGACATTGCCCTAAAATCCAGCAGTGTTTACAGACTTCAAACTGAGTTAAAGCCAATGAATTCAGCTTTACTGAAACACAAGAACAGCATCGAATGGATGCCTGAAGAAAAAAGCATGACAAAAAAAGCTAGCTAGGAGGAGCACCAGGCACCATGCAACAAATTCCAGTTTTCCCCATAGCCTTTAATGTAGACTGTGCTGACAGATCTTTTCAGTCTGAGATTCTGCCAAGCTGAGCAAGGTCAAACAAATCACTGGGCCACATGCTCCAATTTATGCCTCTAGGAAATCAAGACTGATAGTCCAGAAATAATCACTGCAACATCTGGTGTGCCTAGTGGCCTTGCAAGATCCCCATATTCTCAGTATGACACAAGATGACATATTCACTAAATCAGCAGCAGGTTTAAGGCCAATCAGAACATTTTAGAGCATTTATTCAAAGTCATGGTTTTATGAGCACTGTGACAAAACTGCTGCCTCAACTTTTAAGGATAATTTCCCTCTTTCCTCCAGGTTTAGGATTTGTATCTTGGAAAATTAGGATTAAATCTATTCAGTACTTCAGGGCTACCTTGCAATGGCATCACCATTTCCAGAACTACAAGTTAAATCTCCTTCTGACCACATCTCTTGCCAGTGGGGTAAAACCACACCTTTTAACACAAAACAGCATCAGCAACCCATACATACAGGGACTACCATTCTCACTAGCAGTGAAAAGTATTCTAATAAACTAAGATAAACACCACCACTATCTACATTCCATTTCCATTTTATCAGCTGCCTCTGGCTGATCCAGGATTCTGTGTCCAGCCCTCCCCAGCTCTGATAACTTCACATAATGGCTCAGAAAAACAATGGGGTAAGTGGCAGGATTCCCAATGACTGAAGTCACTCAAAGAGCTGCTCATGACTCTGCACAAATAGGCTTTCACTGAAAGAGAGCTGGTTGGAGAGAGAGGTTCTGGAAAAGCTGCCACAGGTCTCTGGGTCACCCCTTGATCAGTATCAAGGTGTCCACTCTTTAGCACTGCAGCAGAACCAAAACATCTCTGTGAGACCCTGTCTGCATGGATGAGGGAGCAGATTTTTCCCATTAAACATGTAACTTTAACGGGAAAAACAAGTGATGGATGGGATGGGAAAGAGGAGGATGTCTCTGTAAAACAAGTTACAGCATACAGCAAAGAGAACCCAGAGGGATGTCCAGGATGGGCTTTCTGTAGTGTTACATTACTCCAGTTTGTAAGTTGTGATCTATAAACAAAAGGTGATGAGAGATTACTCATTTAAAATGAGTTTATCAGGCAGCTCATCAACTGAACTGCAATTCCTAGAGAGCTTTTCACTACAAGATATGAGAATTCAACCAAGACCACCCCAAAGCACCCTGACACCTTCAAAGGATAATAAAAAGGCCAAATGAATATGACATTAGGTCAGAGAACTTGCAGGATCAAACTCAGCTTTTAGTCTCCAGTAGAACTCCTTGGAATGAAATTGCTCAGTGTATTCAGATGTTCATTGTATTTTCTACATTGCAAAGAGTTCTCTGAATCTCAGAAGAAGGTAAAAAATTGATGTTTCAGGTCTCTGAATATGAACCACAGGTACTTTAAGATAAAGGGATCACAGCACAAACAAGCACTGCAGTTCCTGCCACCACTTCTTTAGCTTTCCTTACCTTTGTGTATTGGCTGGATGGGAGGAGATCCACAAATACTTTGAGATCAGTAAAACAGCAGGGTTTGTCCCCAAATTTTTTGAAGTATTGGAACATTAGTTCTTCTGGATCACCTAGGAAAAAGCCAGTTCACCTTTTTAATATGCTGTGTTAAAAGGTGAATCAGTAACATCACTGAACATGAGAAAACTCTATTAATGCCTTCCCCCCCCCCCCTTTGAGAGTACATAGTGATTAGATAAGAGAGCTGCACTACTGCAGATTTTGAGAGGCTCAATGTCTTTGGTAACCAAGGACACATGAAAAGAAACCCCAAGAGCTTCATTCAAGCTACTCTGGCAGATAAGAGCTCAGCATAGCAGGCCTCTGCTTATCTAACAGCAACTTATTGCTGGATGGAAATACAAAAGGAAGTAGTAAGCAGCACAGATGTGGCTCTAATCACATTCTGTCCTTCACCAATTCCCTAAATGTGATTTTTTAATGCAGCGTTTTCAAAAAGGAAAACCTGGTGCTACTGCCAGAAAGTTGAACTGAAAAACTACCTTGAGACCACAGCGTGACAGCAGGGCTTTCTACAAAAGCAGTGCAGCAGGAATGAGCTTTTCATTGCCGTATCAGTGACTGTGTGCTCTTTAGAAAAGCCCTTTAGAAAGGTCCCCTGCTTGCTTCTACAAGACCTGGAGTAGTTGGAAACTACCTGCCCTTCTTCAAAGCTCATCTTCTAATGCTTTCAAAACTCTACATACGAACAACAGCACATGCCTTTCCATAACAGAAATTGTATTTAACTCAGTGATTTAGCAAAGAGCTTGTTCTGAGTTTGTGTTCTCTCCAAAAGATCAATTCACCACCCACTTAAGTGGCTCTTACCTAGTTTATACTCATCATTACAACCTCTGTACCGCAAACGTCTGATCAGCTCCAGTTTAGCTAAATATGGTCCCCGAAGCGGCCGAGAGCTCTTAGATTCTTCTGTTATCCTCTCTTCTATAAATTTCACAGCTTGCTCTATAGAATAGTGTACCTCTCCTTCCAAAGAGCTGTGCAGGTAAAGAGACAAGAGGTTCTTTGATTTTCCCCACTGACAACACGTGTTCAGCACATTCCTCTTAAGGAAATCTGGCATGATGGATTCTTTAACTCATCACCAGGAAAGCAAGCACTGGAAGAGTTCTGTAGAGTACAAACCACTATTTAAACAGTGCTTTCCAATAAACTATTGCCAGTATCCAACACAGAGTAGGAAGGACACATTACTTAGGGTCTGATGTCAAGAAGTCATCCAAAAGACACAGACAGTGTGGTGCTGAATATATGAATGGAAACAATTCACTGTGGCACAAAGGGAAACCAAACCAACAGTAAAGCTGTCAACTTACTGCTCTTCTTCTGGTGGAGGTGTCCAGGATTCATCAATGAGTTGAAACACTGAATCAAAGTAAGTTATATAAAACTGCCAATCATCTGAGCTGAAACAAACATCAGGCACAGGACAAAGTTTAGGGAATTGCCAAAACAGTAACTCACTGCTAAAACTGCATTCCTTGCAAAAGCTGGATTTAAGGAATAGCCATATTCATAATAAGAAAAAACAACTGTAAAAGAACCATTTCTCCTCAAAAAGGTCTCGCATCTTATGAGCCATCATCGTCCTGAATTCTTGAAGCGTATTAAAGGAAGCAATTTCAACACAGAACTGAGGCTAGCTACAAACTCTCCTCTTAACATTCATATTCCAATCAGAGCACATTAATATCCCCAAAATGCTAAGGCAAAAATTTCTCTTCCGTGTTTAACTCACAACTAAATACAAAAAGCAAACAATGCATCTCTCTTGACAGTTCCAAGAGACAGATTCATTCATATCAGTATGCTCCCTCCTGATGCATCTGCTCAAAGCATTTCCCAGGATGAAGTCTGGCCAAGTGAGAGAAACGAGGTTCCAGAAAATTAAATGTAAATGCAGCTCTCTTCCTTTCCCACCATGAAAGACAGAGCTGCACCAGCAGTACAGACGTTAGAAACAAAGAGGTAAACACAGTTTGACTGCATTAACATGTTGCTAAAGTCAGCCTTCAAAAAGAAGCAACTGACCCTCCCTGTCACCACATCCTTTAACATTCCATCCTTCTGCAAACATTTGGAAATGCTTTGAGATCCTGCGATGTTCTCCCGGTTTAACCACCCTTTACAAACCCACTGAACAAGGCAATTCACAGCCAGGCAGGAATTTTTTCTCCCATGTTTTTGGAATAGAAATATAATCTCACTTTTTCAGCAGCAGCCTTCTCGACAGCGCGTTGCACTCTGGCCACCTACACAGCTTCTTGTACATTGCCATACACTTGTTCTCACGGCTTTGGAGCTCACTTGTCAGCTTCTCTACATTAAAAACAGAAGGGCAAGTTTGATTTAATCAATGCATTTCCTTCTCTACTTTCTGCAGAAAGCTTCTTATTATAGCCCAGGCTGCAAATCAGTAAGTGTAAAAGAGAGGCCCTCAGAGGACAGAAAGGACAAATCTCCTATGGAAGCTTTTACATCCCAATTCCTTAAAACTGCAAGTGCATTTTAATCACCAGAAAACCCTCAAAAAGGTAAGATACTAGCAACCTCTTTGGAAGATGGCAGCTACAAACGAATATGCTATCAATCTACTACTGTTAAGCACACTGCTGCTAAGTTCATCAGCAAATAACACTTAGAATACCATAATCAGGTGGGTAAAACCAGCCTGCACAAGAGCACCTCCACAGTTTGCATCAATGTTTGAAACTGATGCCAAGAGTCAGGCTTCTTACAGCTTTCTTACTTTTTTTGGGCAGTGGACAAGCCTGAAGCAAAGGAGAACTTGCTGTGCCCTCCACACAAGTCTGATGATTAATGGACAGAATACGTTACCTCCCAGTTTTCCTCTCACAACATCTAAGGCTTCCTTATACTTCTCCAAACGTTCCAGGATCATGTAGTACAGCTCGACCTTAAAAGAAAGATTAGACTGCAATGAAATTTGCTAGTAAAATAAGACTCAGGTGTGCCAAGAAATAAAGGGGCTTGTGTTCCTGTCATTAGAAGAGGAGATAGCCAGGCCTGCAAAGCTATCTTTAGCATCCCAGAGGGTGGAGCATTCAGGAATTTAGGTCTTTTTCCATTCTTGGTCCTGAAGTTTCTCCTGGGGCCTCCCAGGGAGCAAAATCAAATACTTCATCAGTCAAATCAAGTGCCAAAATACTTCCTTGGCCACATGATTCCAAATCCCTCTCAACCTCCTGCTCCTTCTGTCCCACTACATTCACGTTGACTTCCAGAAAACTACTGATTGTTATCTTGGAAAACTGTTACAATAATCAACTCCTTTTAACAGTGCATTCCCTCAGTAATGTCCAAATCAACCTGAAAGTATCTGCAAGCAAGCCTTACTTCAGCCTCAGCTTCAATCTTATCCTCCTTCACCATCTTCTCCACCATTCTCTCAGCTAGTGGCAAAAACATTGTCTTTGAGAGGTTTTCATCCTGGGCTGAAATAGACTGAAGAAGAGAAGAGTTATTGGACCAGCTCAGCAGCTTCGTGGGTTGTCTTTCCCATTGCTTTTTCCACATTAAAAGAGGAAAAAACCCACCCAGGTGCTCCAGTTCCCCTCTCCCAACCCCACACACTCAGAGCTGCCATCTGCCTCTGTTAGAAGGCAGCCCTAAAACTACTGACACACAGAAAACCTTACTCTTGATTTCACTGTCCACACTTATGCATCCAGGCACACAATACCCATGGTAGGTAACATACAGCAAGAACACAGCATTGTTTTCCATTCCATGGTGGTTTAGAGAAGGTGTTGAATGCCCCCATGCTTATTTTGTATTTGGCCAACACTTCTGGGCTGTCTGAACAGTGCCCAGACCTGCTGTCACCAGCAGCAGCACAGCCAATCTGCTGTCTATTCCTGCAGACCCTCTGCAGTCTTAAAGAGATGCTAAGCTCAGAGCTCTCATTTCTTTCCTCCTAGAGCCTTTGTAACCTAGTTGGAGAGGAACAGTTCTGACTCAGGAGCTGCAGATATCTGAGGTGCTATTCATGAGCTAACTAAAGACAGTCCAGAGAGAGGAGAATTCAAGTTACATAAATGCGGTAAGGCAGACCAGTCATGTTGCTTTATCAAAACACTACAGCATTCGTTTTGGACCACATCAATAGTGCTACTTGAGGAGGGCTCAGTCCTTCTCCCAGCATCATAGAGATACATTCAACCACACATTTTACTTCAAATAATCCCCAATATTTCCACTCAGAACTTTTCTATATTTGCACCTGCAGGAAAAGTCAACTCATTTGCAATTCTGTACACACCTGCATAATCAGGCTCATCACAGACCAAAAATAGTAAGGATTTTTGGGTACAATCTTATAAAGTGCCATTCCAGCCTGAAAAATATAAGGCAAAATGTTCATCATTCCCAAAACATCTCTTTTCACAAGCACTCACGACAAACACAAGTTAAGCAGCAATGATGGCAGGAGACAACACAGAACTAGCAACTACATGGGAGGACTTTTATCAGCCTGTGAGCCCTTCCATCCTAACACACTTTGCTAAAGAAGGAAACAGGGTGAAAACGTTTTGAAGTACTCTGTGTAGGTCTGACAGGGAACAGCAATGAGCATGTGCATGTACGACTGCCTAAACAGATGCCAGCTTTAATTAGAAGTGGTATCTACATGAGGAAGCAGAAAACTTACTCTTTAGGAAGGGGCTATTTCCAGTGCTGATTTGCACTAGAATGTTCACTCAGTGCTAAAAGGCACAGCAAACCACACGCCTCCCTCATGTAAGCAACAGACCCTCAATGCTCATGTCATACATACGCATACTCAGATACCTGAAACATGAGGTCACGTGTACATGCAAAGCTGTGGTTAAAAGCAAAGGTTGAGCTGAAAGCTTGGATGCATCAAAGCAGAGCCAAAGAACTAAAGATTTCCTAGCCTAATACAGACTTATTCACACATTTTTTCACAAATTTCAGTGCCTGTATATAATGAGGAACAACACTTTTACCTATATAAAATCTGTAAAAAGTTTGAGAAACTACATGTAATACAGTACACTAACACAGACGGACTTGTGTGCCTATCTCCTGACTGCATTTTCCAGTCCTTTCAAATGAAATACCCTACAACACTAAGGTTTATTTTCACTCTCTGATAAGTCAGCATCCACACATTGTTTGCATCTCTAAGTCCTTCAGTTAAGTGCACAGGCCAGTCTGGGACATCCTACTCTGCCAGTGTCTGGATAACTTAACTAGATACATGTTTATGACATTTTAAACATACAGCAGGTCATATAAATGTTAAATATTGTTATTTATCTGTGTAAGACGGGCATTTTTTCCACTTGTGGTTGTAGACAGGAGCACAATTAACATAGTCCCATCTCTGAAATTTATATTGTGTTACGAGGCTTGTCATTCTATGTACATTAATAACTTAGCTTCCACCTACAGCTTGAACTCAAACAGCATGCAAGCTGGGCTACAATGGAAGGTAACACTTCTGCTCAATACATTCCTCTAGTTATTTGCACAAAAATTCAAGTCACCTTAACACAGTGGGAACAAGAGGGAGTTTAGGACTTATTTACTCAGCTCTCTGTGCTTTCTTATGCAGAAGAGTGAACACACATGGTTTGAAAACAATCTTCCATTTATAAGCATTCTCCAGGCACCTAATTTGAAAGGTATGAAAACAAAACTAACCAGCATGACGCTGTTCTGCCAGCTGAGATGTGCTTCAAGGAAGTGCTTTTTAATTTGCCTTCACTGAATTACAACCAATACAAGCCTAGTTAGATATTAGACTACAGAGGTAAGAGCATGAGCAACATTCCTCTTCCCAAACGTAAAACTAAGGAGTAAATCATGTCTGAAATACGGATCAGAAGATCTAGCCACATCTTTTTCTATCTACTCCAGAATTCCTTTGTAATACACTGCTCATATGTAACCACTGGCCTGTTTAAGACAGGCCGATAAAAACCTCCCCAAAATAACCAAGATTTTCTATCAGACTACACACACAAAAGGCACAACTTTTGTCCTAACCCACACAAGGAAAAGAAATCATTTGTCTTCAGATAAGCCACCCCTCAAATAACGGTCTTTTAAGCCTTTCTGTAAAGAATAAGAGAGTCTAACCTTTGCATTAACCCAGCTGAGCTTTCTGGAAGATGACTTGTGATTAACATATACAGAAGAAGACACCTTAAAATGACCAGAACACAAACTGTTGATCATACCTGTTGCATCTTCTTGTATTCACCAACCCTGGCGTAGGCCATGAAGAGGTGGGAGTGATACTCTTCACTGTTGGGAACCTTCTTTACAGCTGCCTCATAAAGTTTGGTTACCAGTTCCGCTAAACCAAACCCAAATGCTCGAGTTAAGACAAATTTGGGAGTAATTTTAAAGCACAGCTACCTAAAGATAATATCAGTGATACTCTGAACTGTAATTTAATTACACTCATCAACCACAAAAATGGCTCTCCCTCCCAAGACCCCAAACACTACATACATCAGGCAAAGGAGGAAAGGGCTCACAAAACCCAAACAAACCAACCTCAAACCAGAGTTAACAGAAACAACTGAACAGCTCAGAAGCACTGAAGTCTTTTTCTTAAGGAAGTGAATCTATTTTGGAGCATTAAACTGAATTAAGATGCTGCTCCTGGCAGAATGACTGCTCCACATGAATTCTGTGCCTAAACACAGAACATTTTCAGAACCTAATATCAAATCAGTTACTCTTATCACAGGTTTACTTATGTTAGTCATATCCTGTTATTTCCCAGTTGCCTATTTTAGCACTCTTAACAAGTAAAATACTTTTTAATAGTATGTTTTAATAATAGCTCTGTCATGACTAAGTTCTTATGGTATTGTAATACACAAAACTTTGACATTTTCATCCTTCCAGAGTTGTTTTTCTTATACAATCATATCTCAGCGTAGTATTCAAAAACTAATGTCTTTCACACATTTTACATATCCTCAACACACATACATAAGCCATCTAATCACAATTTTCTTGCAGGACTGAAAGTGGAAGTGCCTGACACCCACTACTTCCTTTCTGAGTTATAAACCTAAAAGTTAGAAATCCGAGCTTAAACTTTATGCAAGTTTAGAATCACCAAAAGGCTTTTGACATCTTTATATTGAAATCACACGTACAGAGGAAACATTTCACATTATTCAAGAAATGATGCTTCAACTCTACATATACCTACACACATAGAAAGAAGCTAGGAAAGCATGAGCAACTGCTGTACTGCAGACTGATATCCAACAGCCATTTCTAAAGAAGTTGTTTCACCCCATGCCATTGCTCCAGCGATTCAACTACAAAGGTTACTACCACCAGCAAGAACCACAAGAAGCTGCCATAAACAACTGTTTAGAGCTGTAGATAAGCAGTACATAAGGTTCAAAAAAAGCCTGTGTGATTTGTCATCTCTGCTACGTATACAGACAACAAATTCCAGTGGCTTTCATCAAAAAGTGAACTCACAGGCTGATAGTGATGGATTGTTATTACCATGTCATTCATTTAGGAACTATGTACACAGTAGTGTTAATGAGAAGCCTAAACAAGGTTCTTTGCTATATCATCACTGGAGCCTTAGAGGCATTTATAACAGGCATCCTTTAAATCCCCTGAGTATCCTAACACAAATCCCAGACTTTGCACGTTTCCCATGAAACTGTGGGTGACATACTTTTAGAAGCATATAAATAATTCTGATTTTTAAGAGAGGGAAAGGAGAAAGCTTACGTCTGTGCATCTCCCGGTAAAGGATGGTGAGGGCCTGCAAGGAATTATCATCTGTGGGCTCAAGTGCTGCCACTTCTTGTGCCAGAGCATACGCTTCATCCTGCTTGCCAGTCCTCTGCAAGCCAATTGCCTTCAGAACCTATCAACACAAGGGAGAGGCAGCTGTTAGGAGCACAGTTGGCAGTTACCAGTGAAAACCCTCTCATTCCTGGTGGGGAGAAGCTTTGCCCAACCACCTCATTACTTCTCCAGACCTTCAGGTTTTATTAGGCTTCTAATCCATATGGCATTGAAGAAAACTTCCAAATGCAAGCTGTATCAATAGTGTGGCTTTCCATTTCTTTAACAGACAGGCAGGCTGCTCTAAGGCATCAGCCACCACTCAGCTCTCCCAGCCTGCAGACTGAAAACTGACCAGAGCTGCCTACATGGTATGGTGTGGAGGAGAACAGCCCCAGATGTTCCTGAGGGCTCAGGAAACACGCTGGTCTCTGGAAGATCCTGGACAGCATCACGCCTCAGAGCTCTGCTCACCAAACGAGGTCTGCACCACAGTCACACTTACCTTTGCACAGTGAAGATCCTTGTGTTTTTTGAGCAGCTTATCTGCTTGCTGGATTGCCATTTTATTATTGCCATTGTCCAGATAATCTGCAGAAGAACATACACAGCATTACACCAGAACACAAAGACCATTCTGGAAAGCTACCTCCAATTTTACTGTGGAGTATGTGCTGCAGGCCAGTAGTGCAAACCCCATTTCCCTTGTACAATTACTACTAAGCCTAACATTCAGGAAACATGTCACTTTGTAGATGAAGTATTCATCTGCTGTACCAGTTTTAGTCAGTCAAACAAACAAGCTTTTGTAATTACTCTACACAGATCATTACAGCAACAAAAGAGACATAATAGAATGGGTTCTGCAGCAACAGCTCTTTGCTAGCAATGATGCTGAGCCTCTTGGCTTCAGCCGAAGCTGGAATTCATTTGGTGTGCCTTTGGGAGACTTTCAATGACTTTTAACAGGCAGCAGGTTGGAAACTAAGCACTCAACATCTATCAAAGTATTAAGTGAGTAAACCTACTTGTCCACAAGATTCACACCTCAGGCAGAGTCAATGTGTCCCCTAACAGAGCATCACTATCTTTCACCAGAATGGTTTTATTTCCTGGGGGAGATCCCAATGTCAAGTAAAGCTTCAGCTGCAGAAACCCCAAACCCCAGCCTCAAGTCTATTTTCTCCTGTATTCAGCTCAGTGTTCACCACTGAGCACATCATCACATCACTGTACAAGTAGTTTTAGATTAGAACATGAGCCCTATATGCCTCCCCTTCCTCAAAACCTAACCAAAACCTACCAGAAAAAGCTTAGCTGCACCTGAGGTGCCAACAGGGAAGGGTCTGCTCGCATCGTCCTGGCCTCTCCCCACCAAACTGAACAGAGCCAACACCAGTTAACTGAAATTACACTGACATCTTTTTCTCATCAAGTCTGTAGTTCTCATTATGAAAAAAACTCTTTTACCGAGGTGACCTTAGTAATTCCTGGGATATGGCACAAAGTGTGCATCTATACTGATGAGATTTATAGCCAGCAGCTTCAACATTTGCTTCCACGGCCGAGTAAGTGCTGCAGATTTAATGCGGAGCTAATTGGGCTCCTGAGACCATGCAGACAAAACCTCAAACAAGGCAGCCTGCCCACACCAACCAAAACAAAATGCTGCAGCATGAAATATAGTTTGATGCTGTAAGACAGTGACTGTCCATGGGTTAGATGGCTGTTTTAACTTGAAAAAGCCTGTGCATCATCTTCAACATCAAAACTTAAGCAGGGATTTCTCAGGGAAAAGGTTCCAAACCCATGGAATACAAGGTTCTGGTCATGTCTTCATGCACAAGCAGAGACTCTGTGATTTAAGGATCTGTGTTGCACAGCTCACACACAAATTATGCTCACACACGCTGCACTGCCTGTCTTGGATTGTTTAACAACTGTACTGATAACATCTCCACTTCAGCTGTCTTAAGGTAAATCAAATAAACCACAAACTTCTCTAAACTGCAGCAGAATAAAGAGACTGTATTTTGCTAACAACAAGTAAGTTTGTTGGAAGCCAAAGTACTGGCAACTTCCAAAGGAATTCAAGGGAAAGGGAAAGCAACTTCAGCCTATATTAGTTGCAAGTCTGGAGGTGGAGATGTTCAGTGGCTGGAAAAGCAACATATGAATGAACCTCCAGGTGAAGGGAGAACAGGATGGAAGATAAACGTAGCTGTCGAGGAAACCTGAGCAACCACGCACATGGTGCAAACCCACAACACCGCTTTAAGTCAAGAATCAGACCTTCAGCCTCACGCTGCACACCTCCAGGTTGTGACTTCTGTGAAGTCTTGTATTTCCCTCTTGAGGACACACACTTTGTTTTGGGTTCTGCAGCACCAAAGCCTGGATGCCAACCTTACACTGCAGATAATCCTCTCTAGAACTAGCAGAAAGCTCTTTCAAAGCTGCCTCTGAAAGGAATACAGTGAAATATATCTCAGCATCATCTGCTTTAATGTCGGTTGAGTTCACCAAGTTTTTTCTTTTAAGGCAGCTTAAAGATGTCACACAGGTTACAACACAAAGAATCACGTTACTAACAATGGCATGTACAGAAAACTAAGGAAAACTCTTAAATCTGTCACATACAGACAAACCACACTCCTGCACTCATGATTAGATGAATTTTAAGACCGCTGCATGTTTACTCTTTTAACCAAACACAACTATCCCCCTCCACCTCACTGGAACCATCACGAACGCAAGTCTATAACCGCAATATTCTCACAGCATAGGACATTCCTGAAGCATCCCAAATGAGGGCAGCTCTCCACCTTCGGAGGAAGAGTTATTTTCTTCTAATGTTGAAAGAAGTTGAGAACATCCTCCTATATCTCTGTCCAATCCTCAGTTTTAGAGGATAAACGACACTGTAGCCTGGGGAAGTCTTTTTCTCCTCTCTTTCCCTATATTTGCATACACAGAGCCAAGCTTGCCTCCAGTCTCTTAAGCAACCCCAATTACATGTAATACCCTTGGAAATACTGGGGAAAGCTTAATACAGGAAGTTTCTTAACAAGACCACCTTCTAACTACTTCGCTCGTCTCCCAATTAACTTCCATAACACCGTAATTTACCTGTGCCACAGCACTTCAAAACACAACTTTAAGGTACCCGCGACTGCCCCTGCTCCTTTTACGAGCTAACCCTTTTCCAACTTCTCCGCAGCAAGAAACAAACGCCGACCAGAGCTGCACTGACTGAAAGAGGCGCAGAAACCCCCCTCCCCATGGGTACTGCCCCTCCGCGCATCACCCCGGACCCGTGGGAGGGGTGTCCGGATGGGGATCCCCTTGAAGGAAGCTCCGCTGCCCGCAGGAAGACGCGCAGCGGGGACGGACCCCGGGTGCCCCCGAACTCCCGCTTCCAGCCCCGGGTGGGAGCCGGGACCGACCCGCACCCCCACGGCGGAAAAGAAGCTCCTCCGGAGGGAGCAGCCGGGACTGGGGCCGCGCTCCCCGCCACCCCCCGAGCGCGCTGCCCCGGCGCCGGGGATGGAGCGGGAGAGGCGGAGAGGCGGGCGGGCGGGCGGCGGGGCCCGCCGGAGCAGCCAGCGAGCGCTCCCCGGACCGGGCCGGGCCCCTCCGCGCCGCGCCCAGGGGCCGCCGGACGGGTCGGGGCAGCACCGCGATGCCGCGGCGGAAGGGCCGGGAGCCGGGCCGGGGGCTCGCGGGGTCCGTACCGTAGATGGGCCGCAGGCGCCGGTCGTTGGGGTCCTGCACATGGCCCCGCGCCGCCATGATGAGAGCGCAGAACCGCAGTGCGCAGCCGCCGGCCGGGCCGGCCCGGGGCGGGGGTGAAGGGGCCGGTTGGAAGCACGGGGCGGGGCCGGGCCCGGTGTCGGGAGCCCGGGGAGCTGCGGGAAGGGAGCGGAGCGGGGCCGGGCCGGGTGCGCGAGTCCCAGTCCCAGTCCCACCCCGCCGTGCCCAGGGCGGGGGAGCCCCAGCCCGCGCTTCGCCTGAGGGGAGGGAGCAGCGGCCCGGGCCCCGGGAGCGCCCTGCCCGCCGTGAGGGGCTGAGGGAAGGGGGGCCCTGCCCTGCGGCCCCCGGGCACAAAATGGCCATCGCGGCGGTTACCGAGGCGGAAACGCGGCTCTGCGGGAACTGGTAAGAAACGAAACCGAGCGCTGGTGGCGGCTCCGTGCCGCCGTGGGCTCCCTCCAAGCGCTGTGGGACACTGGGACGGGCGGGCGAGCCGTGATCGTATGATCCCCTAGGAACGGTGGGGGTTTGGGCTTTGCCGTGCCTTGTGATGTTCCCAGCCTTTATTGAACAGAAACCACAGGATCCGAACCAGGGCGTTCGGATAGAAATGAAGATGTGGATTTGTGAATCCAAGTTTTCCTTCGGCAGCCCCACGGCTCAGACGCAGATGTACAAATAGAGTCAGTAGGAACGTATCGCCGTGGCCTTGTTTCTCTTTGATAACAGTTCCCTCCGCAGCGGCTCCGATGTCGGTAATGCGTTCACTGATAACGCTGAAACCTCGGGAGTGCATCTGGAACAGAAGCAGCTACAGAACCTCACTTATTTTTTCCCTCAGAGATACCAGAAGCCGAACAAGTTTCTTGCAGCATCGGGGGAGTTGGTTTGCAAGCAGCCACTTTGTGCAGCTGAGCCACTGCTGTTGCGCTTTGTTGCTTTGCCAGGGCATTGGCTGCTTGGGATCTGACAAGGGAGAGAACGGAACGTTTGTTCATTACAGAAGGCTTGTAATGACCTTCCTTTGTGATACGGAAGGCACTGAGGAATAGGTTATAAAGTTAATGATGGTGTTTTGAAGGCTGATTTCTTTGGGGGGAGAGGATAGAGGATAGATCCATCTGGAAATGCTGCTTCCCTGCTTGAGGCAGGAATAAGAACAAAGCTCCCAGTGCCTCGGTTCTTTTTGGACCCTTTGTGTTTGTAAGCCGTGCATCCTCCTCAAGATAGGAAAATATGTGTCTTCGAAATGAGTTGGGAAACTTTGGCCATGGAGTAAATGCAGTTACTGCTCCTTCACTGAGCAGATCTGGCCTGACAGGATCTGATATTTATATTCTCCAAGCAGAGCTCTGTTCAGCCTCATAGCCAGGTTATTTCAGGAAGAAACTTTTTATCTTCCCAGATTAGTTCATTCACTTAAACCTGGCAATGGCTTGTTTATGATTCAAAAATTGCCTTTCACACAAGGAAATGAATCCACTTTGATTTTATCTTCATGCGGTGTGAAAGTTGTGACTTTTTCATGCTAATATCCCACTATAAAGGAGCACTGAGGCCTGGCTGGGCTTGCCTTTCTTTTTAGTTACCCACCTCTCTAAACCATGAATTCATAGAAAGCTTTCTTAGGATTTTATTCTCCTTATGAAAAACTGCTTGGGACTATTATTATCAGTGTATTTTCTGCAAAGTGACCTCTGTGACTTTCTCACAGCAAAAAGGACATCCCTGCTGTTAATTTCATCATCCATGAAATCCACTGTAGCAGAAATATTGAAGTATGCTGCTACTGCAGCGAATCCATCCCGAAGTCCGAAATGAAGAACCACATTGAGTCCGAGCACGTGCAGGTGAGAAATGGGTGTCTCCTCTGACATTGCTGACTTCTGGGGCAATTAATCTAACGAGGTTTTGTTTATTGTAGGTTACCTGCAAGTGCAGGATGAAGATAGAAAACAGTCTCCTGAAGGATCATGAGGTTGGTGGACTTGATATTATTAGACACTTGGAGGGGTACTCTATGGTGTTTCCAAGCTCAATTCTAGAGCCCAGACCTGGCTTCCAACCTGTGGTTGGAATCCATTTTATTGACCTGTGCTTTCTAAATTCAAACCCTCTGACAGAAGGTGATTGGCAACTGCCTGAAAGTGGTGGAACCTGCTCAAGTCTTCCTTTTAAAGGGTACCCGTGATAGTTGGTGATTTTGTCCTTATCAATGATCAAGATGAAAAATGCTAATTCAGAAGTACAGAACATCATCAACTTGACTTTTCCCATTCCTTCAACATCACACTGTTCTGACTCTGCTGCACTCATTATGGGAGTTTTAATAACTCATCAAATGAAATCATGTAAAATGAACTAGACTAGGACACAGTGGGATTTCTGAGGTGCTGGCTGCTGTCACAGGCAATCCTGTGAGGAGAAAAGGATAAGTCCAGTTAAACCTTGCAAGCAGTTTATCCTGCACGCTTGTGTGTAGTGCTTTTAGTTTTGTTTGTAAAGCAAATGATGATGCATTATTGCAGCATCTGCAATTATGACGTGTATTTAATCCATGTTTAACCCCTTTTGAAGGGCAACTTAGCACTTACTTGTCACTCAGTAGGGTAAAGAACATAGGCCAGCAATTCTTGTTGAGTAGCAAATGATCTGTAAATCTCTTCCTTAACAGAACAGGCACAGACATGTTTTTAGCAGTGCTCAATGAAATGTGATTTCAAGTCTGTATCTGTAACAAGTTCAGGATTGTAACTTCAAAAAGCACAATGTGAATCTGCTGTCTAAGCAATACAGGTTAACAAAACCCCATCTGAGTATTGGGAGTGCTTCACTTGGCACCTTTATGACTACACAGGTTACACAACACATTTTTCTTCCATTTCTCATGTCCTATCTTTTTCCAGGCTGTTCTTCAGCGTAGCTTTGGGGCTGGCTAAAGAAACAATGGAGCACTCAGCTCCTAAGCAAACTGAGAAGCTCTCTTCACCTCTGCCTTCTGTAGGTGAAAAATAATCCCTCTGTTCTATTCCCAGGCGTCAGCGTGCCCTCTGCGTCCTGCCCTCTGCCAGTACTGTGACATACAGCTTACGTTCAAGGAGCTGCTGGACCATGAAGTTTACTGTGGGGCCAGGACTGAGCTTTGTGGAGGATGCGGTCGTAACATCATGGTGAAAGATCTCCAAGAGCATCCTCGAGTCTGTGGGCAAGAGGTGAAGCAAGTGAGAGGAGTGGCTCGCTTTGAGGATGAGGCTGTAGTTTTGCATGCCCTTCGAGATGTCAGAAGGCAACTCGGATCAGGTAACTACCCTGGGCCCTTGTGGAGAATGCCCCAGAAAAGCACATTTATAGCAGCTCTGTAGGAGAGAAAACCCTTGGGGACATTAGCAGAAGAACTATTTCAGCCGTAAAAAGAAAGCAAAAGGGAGGTAAGGTGGAGAGAAGAGCAATAACTGGCTTCTGATGTGACATTTGCCACTTGATCCAAGTGTAAGGTCTTATAATTGCTTTCTGTGAGAATAGGGGATCATGGAAGCTCCAGAGGCACTGTGGGGCTGTTCTGCCAGGGAATAGATCTACAAAGGTGTAAGCCAGCTGGATGCAGGACTCTGAGGTACCCGGGGTGAAAGCCCAGTTCACTGCCTGTTCTTTTGTCTCTAGGTGTCTAGCTTAAAAATGAAGTTGGAGTTGTTTGCTCACTGCAAATTCTGTCCATTTTCATTGAGCAGCTGCACTGCTCTTTCCTTCAGTTGTGGGTAGGTAAGAGCTGGACGTGGGTTCCCATGTGTAGTAGAGCACATGTCAGCAGGAACATCCTGTTTGGCCATCACTGAGACGATTATCAATGCCTCTGCCCTTTCCTAAGCCTCTAATCTCTTCCCTCCACTTGCATCACACTTCAGACCCAGCTTTTCCAGGAGCTGAATTCATGTTCTGCTGTGGGCTGCGTGGAGGGTTTCACAGTGCAGAGTCCTAACTTACAGTCTTTGCTCAGCTTGTAGAAATAACCTCTGGGTTTGACTAATAAAGCTGAATAATCTGTGGAGCTGTAGCCTGTAGGCTGCTTACAATAACTGCTAAAGAGTGTTCACAGGGGATATTTTTATGCATGTGGGAGCTGTATTTAAAATTCTCACATAATCAGTACAAATGAAATACCAGAGAGACTTGAAATAGGCCAGCATGGGTGAGGAGCACTGAGCGTGTCCTTAGGCATCATTGGCTGAGCCTTGGGCCTGGTTTTCTTTTCAGTGGGGCTTTCCTACCAGAAACCACGTTATGGTTTTCTTCTGGACGTGTTTAATCCCCACTGTTGTCAAGGGTCATGTCAGTAAAAGGAATTTGTTTTCTCCTTGAGATACTGAAAAAAGTGTTTCAGCCTTGTAAAAGGGATGAGACTACAGGCTGTGGGTTGGACCTTGTTCACAGTGTAGGTCCCAGAAGGTTCTTCAGTGACTCTGTAAGGCTCCCAAGAAGCTTAAGTTCAAGCTTTTGGAGTAAGAGGAACAACTTCCTTCTGTTTCTCCTTTTGGCTTATTACAAACAAAAGTAGGCTGACTGTTCATCACCTTCCTTATGAATCTGATACAGGCTTTGAGTGCTGAACTCTGAGTGTGCACATGTGAAACCCTCCTAGTTGAGCTGTTCCGGTGTCCAGGAGGGTACTGCTTGTTGCTGGCTTAATGTTCTCTCAAATTCGTACTTGTCTTTTGAAGGGAATGAACTGGAGCGGTTGGGGAGAAGTGAAAGTGCCCATTCTGCACTTGACGAGGGGTGGAACCCTGACTTAGACTACGCGTTGGCTCTCAGCCTCCAGAATGAGGATCATCAGCACAAGAACACTGCAGCTGAAATTCCCAGTGACTTCTGGGAAAACTGCTACACCAGAGAGTCTGTGTCATCTGCCTATCGTAATGATAGAGACGAGTTGGATACCTTCTGTGACTCTTTCGTGCCTTCTAGCATGTCAAACATCAGTAAAAGTAAGTATAAACGCTGTTGTTCCCTTAAAGTTTGAGGGGAGGGAGAAGGAAAGAGAGGATTCCTGGACTGGGAATGTCAGAGACTTAAAATGCAGAATTAGCCTCTTTGAGAGTCCCTCTAAAGCAAGGCAGCAGGGAAGGAAGAA